AGTTATGGTAATTTTAAGTAAAAAACTCAACACAGGGAGTCGTGGCAAAGCGATGACGTGGCATAATTAGGTCAAGTATAATGATATCTGACGGTGATTAAAATCACTATCATAAAAAACGCTTCGATGCAAATCTGTAGATAGTGTTTAATTTAAAGAAATTGTTTGATTATTCCATAAGCTACATGATCTCTTATTTCTTTATTTATATCTTTATTACAAGTTTTATGATTGTTGATATTATTAAACAACACACTGGGTACATTAATATTATTTAAGAAGACAATTTAATGTATTTTTACACATGTTAGTATAGTACAAGGTCAAAAGGGACATATTCCTTTCTTATTTATGTTGTTTTACTCAATTTGTATTTAGCAATCTCGAAAAGTATATAACTCGATATAATATTAGAATAATGTAGAAATACATTAATCATTACACCACTAAAAAAATATTAATAACAATAATGCCTCTAACGTCACCAAAATAACTTAACTATGTTATCTAACATCAATTTTCAAATAGTTAGTACTAAAATAATATTTATATCAGATATATTTTATGTAATATTATTTTTTAAATGAATAATAAATTATAGAATTTTAAAATACTGTGACTCACAAGAGATTGATGGGCAGTCATTAAAAGTGTACCGGGAATCATATGAAAATGATTTGAATGTGAGGCATGTTACAAGATTAAAATCCGTGACACGAAGTGTCTTAGAGACTTACCTTATCACTAGGCTACGTTGTAATTATGATTCAGATCATGATACATTTCCATATAGGTTGATAACATGATAAATGGTTGAGGGAAACACAATACTGGTCTAATTGATTTTTAAAGTTAACCTCTTAAAATATTTTTTTTAAATACGAGGTAACAAAATAGAATGTAATAAGTTGTGACAAAAACTTTTACTCAGAAAATTTGTTTATATTTTCAATAATTTTTGTGAAAAAGTGTGCAATGTGAAATTTTTATCATCTTCTATTTAAGGTATTAATATTTTATAGATCAATTACCCATAAGGTTTTACAAGTTATTGAAATTTTTGGTTAATGTTGAAAAATGTGGTGATGATGCAAAAAATGTAAAATAACATTATTAATTAATTTTTTTTATGTGAATCATTTAATAAATTACTTGACATTCTTCAGGTAGAAAAACTGAACCAAAATGACTTGAATAATATCTCAACTAAATTCTGTGATTTAGACAAAGACAATGATGGTCGGATTGAAAAGAGTCTTTGCATTAAATTGATTGATTCGATTGGATACAGTGATCTTTTTGGAATCGTAATTATAATTTTATTTAAAAATATTTTCAATTATTTACATAAGAAGAAAACTTTCAGTGCCCGTTTTATAATAATAGTATTTAAGAATAAAAATATGATCGTAAAATGTATGAATGAGGATTAAAATTAATTAAATAAGCGATGTGATTTATTATTTAAATACTTTTTAATGCTAAATATGTATGAATAAACGAAAAAAAACATATTTTTCGAACAACATAACGAATTTATGTTATACTATGTTATATATGGAAAATAATAGATTTAAAACAATTTTTATATTTGTACGTTTAATAAAAAATAATTTTTCCTGTAATTCCTGTTCAGTACATTTTTGTGATAAGTTTTTTTTTTAAGTTTATTTTTTGAATAAAATTAGAAAACCTGTTGAACTACCCTATTTCAACTATTATCATCCCTCGAGTAGCATGGAAGTTTTTTATGTTAAATGAATGGAAATAATAAATATTTGTTTAACTTGAATTAAGTTATTATTCTTGTTTGCGCTAATAAGTGAAGTATAATTTTGCAATTGTATAATAAATTTGACTGTTTTTTATTCTTTCTTTTTCCACCATCTAGTTTATTAGTCGAATAACTATTGATATGGTTTTATTTTCTTAATTGTATAATAACATATATAGGAAACACTATACGCGATGTCCCAAATCTAACTGACAACACGTAAAACTTTTGTCGAAATTTTTGCATTGAACAATTATTATCTTCTAGACTATATTTAAAGTTTATTTTTTTTTCAACAATAATATTTTGCCGATCTATACGTTAAAAATTCGAAATCGTGTCAAGTTAAACATTACAATCAAATATTGAAAAATTACCCTAATTTTTTACTATCGAAAATATACTACAATATTACAATCGTCGAAAACGTAAAATTTCATTTTTTTTTTTCAATTCACAATTAATTTTATTTTAAAGAAATTTTGGATTAATACAAAATTTTTAATTGGTAATAGCATAAGCTAATATCTTTTTATTGGTGTATTTTTGAAACCCATTTAATATACAATCACAAAAATTTAGGTCTATCCCTTATATCTTAGAGAGGTGTCAACATTTTTTTTAAATGGCAATATATGTTTTAAACTATTTTATAAAATAAAAAATTATCTAATTAAAAAATGACTGGTCGATAGCAACTTACGGACCAATACTTTATTGGTTTAATAATTAAATTATTAAATAATAATTTAACTTATTAAAGTCTAATTAAATTTTATTTATTTCTAATTTTTGTTTAATTATTTAACTAATTAAAAAGAAATGGTTACAAAATATTAATTAAAGAATAAAAATAATGATTACAATTTGTAAACAGTCGAAGTTATAATTACAATGATCTAAGATATATTACTTTTAACATAGTAGTTGAATTACTTGTAATCGAAAATCAAGTAATATGGTTGTCAATAAATATAATATATTAATAATCTAAATTAATATAATACTAGTTAACTGTAATAAGTATTTTGTGGTTGTTAAAAAAAAAAAAATATTTATGTAAGTATAACTTTTATAAGAAAAAAAAAAATTGCTCGTAGATGATTTCGCAAGGGGAGAGTGTTTTACTTTTTAATGCCTTCTTCAACTTAAATGTTATATAATAAACTTTTTTTTATATTTTAGGAGGATATAGACGGAAAAAATATCGAAATAGCTGTCTCTGAATTGAAAAAAAAAATTAATGATGGTAACAGTAATTATTTAACAAATTATTTAAAAATAAAAACAACCCAACCAAACCATAGTTGGGACTAGTATAAATGATATCTGACAGTGATTAAAATCATTATCATAAGAAAAGCTTCGATGCAAATCTGTAGATAGTGTTTAATTTTTAGAAATTGGTGGATTATTCAAAAGCAAAATTTTAACTCAAAAATAATTAAGAAAAAATTGCAAAAAAATCATTTCCATAGGCCAAATTGCCTGAATAGGCAAACGTTCGTCAAATTTGTTTTTTGATAAAATGGGAATTTAAGCTAATTCGTATGTTGAAAATAATTTTTTCGATTCAAAAGAAAAAAAAATTGAAATATGTTTAACTTTTTATTCTATATCAATTAGTTTTATATAATATTAATGAAAATCGGTGTACCCCATTATAAGGCACATTAAAGTAATTTAAAATACAATATCAAGAATTTTAACATAAAAATAGCTCATTTTTGAATATGATAACCATGATCACTATATCTCGAATTTTTTTTTTCATAGTATAGTATATTACATAAGCTTTAATTTAAGATGAAATAAAACTGTCAATATTTCCTGAAAAATTTCAAAAATTGAGTTGAAAAAGTTTAAATTGTGTGTAAAAATTGTTATCAAAAGAAAAAAGTAAACAAAATATGTGGGCAGATAAATGGTCGGATTTTCAAAACATTTATATAAAATGAAGGAAAAATACCTATGATATTAATAAAAAAAAAAATGATTTTGATTTGTTCTTTTTTTAATAAGTTATGACAATTTTTAGAAAAAAAAATTTTAAAAATGTCGATTTTACCGATTTTAAAGATCGTAATTTTTTGGGGGATTTTCACTATTTACGGGGAACGAGGGCAAAGTTTTCAATTTTTGAGGGTAATGTCTTCAACTAGAGACGGCTTATAATCTATTGATGTATGCTTGAAAAAAATCTATTCAGTGAGAGCTGAGAAAAAGTAGTGACAGACACAGAAATAAATAAATAAACACATCATGGTAAAATTAATACTATTTTTTCATGTTTTTGTATTTTTTAGGCCAGCATTTATACGACATAGGCGATGTAATGTTGAAAGTATTATCGATCAGGGCACAATTAAAAAAAACAGAATATGGTGAAATTGAAAATTTTGATCGTATTGATCATTTATTTAAAAAAATCTCAAGTGAATACTATAAAGAGGAGGACAAGTAATATTTTTTTTATATTTTAAATAAACTTTTTTAAGTTAAACTCTTAAAATATTCTTTACTTACAACAAATTTTAATGCCTACATCGTTTGTATTTCATTATTACTAATGCTTTAAGTTTATTATAAATCGCATTTTTTAGCTTCAGTGTGGAGCTTAAAAGGAATTGGTTTTACTTTAAATAATTTTTTTTAATTTCTTTTCCTTGTTGAAAACTTATTACTTTTTAGATGACTTATGTACCTTTGAATTTATGTTTCTATTACTAAATATTTACTTTACTATTGTCTTCATTTTTAACTTTTCTCTTTAGTTTTCTCACATTTTGTGAGGTAAGTACCATTTTGATCGTCTAGGATTTAAAAAGCATATCAACCAATTTCTTATTTTTCAAGTGAGCGGCATTAATTATTTAGTGATTACAGTGGCACATTGGTTAAATTTGGCATTGATAATATATACAATTACTATTATTATTATTCTGAGTGTAAGTTAAGTAAGGAAACAGGTAAAATGTTACGAACAATGAGAACAATAGAAAACCCGTTTTCTTGCTTACTAAATATCCTATACAATTTGTAAAATGCTCATCTGAATTAAATAAACTATTTTTTACATGTTTCTACATTTTCATTAACTTTTCTTTTTAAATAAAAAAATTATCTTAACATTCTTATAACTCCAACCCTAGAAATTGTATAGGCAATTTATTCACATACAACCTCGAATTGAGTTATATATAATGTATATAATATTATCGAACAGGAAACTATTAAAAGAAGCAGGGCTTGGTGAAATTAAAGATCGTGGTGTTATGAATATTGCAATTAAAGCAATCGCAAAAAAGTACTATGCAGACGAGGAAAATTAATATTTATTTTTATTTAAAATAAAGCTTTTTTTAAGCTTAAAATATTCTATAGTTGTTATAACTATAGAATATTTTATATATTACAATATGTTATATATTGTAATCCCTGGATCCATTTTTTATTGTATTTCATTATTACTAATAATTGCTATTGCCTTAAGTTGATTATAAATTGCATTTTTAGCTTCTATGAGGAGCTTGAAAGTAATTGGTTTTACTTTAAATCTTTTATGAAATTTCTTTTCTTTGATAAAAACTAATTATTTTTTAGATGTTAAGCGTACATTTCAATTTATGTTTTTATTACTCATATTTTACATAATATTATCTTCATTTCTGACTTTTATATTAGTTTTCTCTTATTTTGTTAGTTAAGTATCATTTTGAAAATTTAAGATTGAAAAAGCGTATCAACTGATTTCTTATTTTTTAAGAGAGTAATATTAAATTTTCATATTCCATTAAAGCTAATGAAATATTTTTATTTTTCTTAAAAAAAATTTCCTTCCAATATAATTAATGTTACACCATTTTTACATTAAAACATTTTTTATATTTTTGTTAGAATAGACCAATAATGGAAAAATACCAATTTTGATTTATGCGTTCTTTTAATTCTTGACCTACGATTTAAAATTGTAAAATTTATTGTTAATGAATAAAAATATTGTATTCTAAAAAAGCTTAGTTCTTCTTCTTTCTCACCTTAATCACAATTACTTGGGGTCGGCCACCCTTATCCTAAACTTCCACTTGACACGATCTCCCACATCCTCTACGCTCACATCAGCTGTCCTCATATCGCATTTAATAACATCTCTCCATTTCTTTTTTGGTCTTCCTTCACTTAACAATCTTTTTTATCAAGTAACTGTAAGATTATTCTCTACGTACTCAAGTGCATTCTTTATACTGTGTGTCTATAATCTTAACTTTTCTCACTAAGTTTAAAACGTAAATTTGTTGAAATAACTAACTCTTTGCTTAAAATATATACGCTTATATAATTCCCGTACAACTCTCTTTTATCAACTTACCTACTATAATTTTAAATACCACTTAAAAACTACAAGTCAACAATCGAGAATCTATTGTCATCAGTGAATTATTACCTTTTGGTAAGGGTAGTTTTAATACACTAACTACACTAATCAAGTAATACCTAGANGTGAATTATTACATTTTGATAAGGGTAGTTTTAATACACTAACTACACTAATCAAGTAATACCTAGAAACAAAGTTCTTGTAATTATTATGTCTTTAAAAATGATGGCATTATCATTCTTCTTTATTAATACCATCCCCTTCAACTTTATTTTTAGTTATTACACCCCAGTTATCTCAATTTATCATAGACCATCAGCAGCTTGGACATTTTTTTGGAAAAGGCATCTCCTATCTTTGTAATATACTTATAGGATTGATATTAAACAACGTGAATTTTTAAGGAATAAACCATGCAAATAAATATTCGCACTTACTTTTATTTCCTTTCGTAGTTGAGCAAGAATAAGAATAAGTGAGGTAGGGATATTTTATCATTTAATAACTCAACATAGTACAAACCATAGTTATCCCTTCATTATCACCTCCCTTATTATTTAACACATATTATATTCTGTCCAGCTTTAGTTTTGTTTATTACATGTGTTAGGTAGAGTGTGGAGCTCGTGTATGACCGGTTCGAACGTTTTCATGCCATGTTCGGCTATCGTCTCTTCTTCAGCGAGCGTAATAATTTGTTTTGTACGTTTACGGCACTCACGTCTCGTGTTTCTTATAATCGGCAGCCGTACAATTATTAATCGCTCTTCTTAAAGTCTTTTTTTGATTTTGTATATTATTAATTTAGGTTCATTATAAGTTACTTTACCACTCTCTCCGATGTCTTTAAGCTATCTAGTCATCAGGTAAGTTAATTAGATAATTTATTTTCATTTTATTATTGTATCGTTTCATAAGAGTAATCTTGTTTTAGTATGTAAGTTATCCCCCCTTTTCCCTTTACTTTTAAGAGTTTTTATGCTTACAGAACTATAATATAATGATTCGTATTTTGTACATTCATAAGCAGGTGTACATATTTTATTACCCCCTCTAAATTTCTTTATTCTTGCTCTCGACAAATAAAAAACACCATTGTACAGTAAAAGGCAATCCCCTTTTAATATTGAGGAGCTGCTTGTCACAAGAGATACTTAGCCCCACATACTAAAAAAAAAAATGAAACAAAAAATTATAAGAATAAGAATAACGGTGATTTTCTATATCAATTATTTTTTTAATAAATATAGTTTAAAAAAAACTAAAAAAACACGCTTTTAAAGCACATCGAACTAAAAAGTTAAAAATAATTTTTAAAATAAATTTAAAATAATTATGAACAAAAAATACTAGTATTATTATGATAAAAGCGTCGGGCGCTCAATATACGAAAAATATGGCACAAAGCACCCACGCTTTTATCACAATAATACTAGTATTTTTTGTTCATAATTATTTTAA